TTCTCCTTTGGCAACAATGACTTGATAGTTCGTTTCTTAGTAACGCTAACCCGGCAAATTCAAATTTCGATTTTTCAAGGGCCGTTTTCGCCGATATGGAGTTAACTGGAGAATCGATAAAATATCGATAAGATAGCCCTCTTCAAGCACTACAAACTCCATCAGTCAGATTTTGATTTCTGTTACTCCTGCAGCCGGAAAAAAATAAAAACTAATTTTTCGTGTTAATTTGCTATATCCAAGCCTGCCTGGGACACCCGGTATAGAGAAAGCGTTTAAACAAAATTCCAACTCTCTAGGATCGCCCTATTTTTGTCTAATTTGACTGGGCTATACTACGAAACTTGATACAAACCTAATTATATTTTCGTATTCTTTATCTCTGCCCTTCGAATCCCTCCAACGTCGGTACATAACAGATGCGTCAACATTTGCGGGACTGAATGTGTTAGGTTCATTCAAAAGTGATATCACACTTAGTAAAATTGTACGCACACTTTGCGTGGGGTTCCAACGTTCACATGGCAGTTCTCCTGATTGGGGATCATCGACTGGTGGATGTAAAATACTGATACATAAATCTCCATTCTGAAAAATAAAAACAAAATTAAATTGCAATCACACGAGTCTCTTCTTCCTCACCTCATACACGTTGGGATGCCAAACTTTCGTTAAAAATCTAATTGACGGTGGTGAATATGGATAATCCGGTGGAAATTTCATTCTAGCCTGAAACAAAGAACGTATCCGTATTGTAATAAATTCCAATTATAGTAACCATAATTCTGTATATGGCAAAATAAAAATCGGCGGGGACAAAGCTGGAATTACAGTATTAATTTTATCTGGCCCTGAAGTGGACATATAAATTATAAACCATAACACTTAAAATAAACGCCATATATGGCTTAAACATGTCATAAATACTTCAAAATTGCTTGCACAAAAATTGGCTAAATCTGCTGCCTCGAAAGGACTAGACAATATGAAAAGTCACATTTTCATGAGTGCTTTCAGTGACTCTTTAGGTTCTTTTTATTAATAAAATAATTTAAAACAAGCCTTTTTCTCAAGTGTGTGTTTTTTATTATCATTGCAATTAAAAACATCACTTCAGTTTTGCCAAATATAACGCAAAAAAATCGAATTTCCAGTTTTGTTGTCAACCAAGAAATTCATTTAATTTTTTTATTGCAGATTGCGGTTTATTTTTCTAAATAATTGTTATTACTGAAGGAAAATAAAATGCGTATTTCGGTATTCAATTGTGTCGCTCGAAAGTAGAAAGACAATAGGAGAAACGCAAAGTATGAGCAAAAGTAAACAAAATAATAACAGCTCCCAAAAAGAGGAATAGAGGCAATGACCTTACAGTCTGCTAGCTACTAAGTTTTAATTGAAAATCGATAAAACCAATTTTATTTCTTTGTTATAGTTTTTACTGAATTAACTTTTATTTGATCTACTGTTTTCTATGAATATCCAAAGTTCTGTCAAGCAAAAATTTGAATTAATTTATACTGAAATATTTTGTAATGGAACTGCTATTGTCCTGCATTTCGTAATGCAAAAAGTTAAATAACTTCGACAGTAAGGCATTCATTAATTCCTTATAAATAAAACTCTTTAAGAAAACCGTATTTAATAAAAAAATAAGAAAGAAACAAAATTAGATTTTTACAAAGAGTGGTCAAAATATTAACGGAATACACGAGTGGGAGGGATAACAACAAATGCCTTTTTCTTTATTGCATCTTTCACATCTTCAAATTAGCTTATTTAAACCTTTAAAAAGAACTGTTTTCACTACTAGTTCTAAAAAGTACCATGATTTATGTTATTTATTATAGTTTGGGTGAAAACCAATGTTGAAAGGCATTACATTGATACAAATACGAGTATATCTAGAATATTACTCGTGTTATTTAATAACTTAAATATACTCCACAATAATTCTTCTATCTTTGTCAAAACTGTCAAAACATAAATAGGTTTATTTCATGTTAAAATACTACCGATAGAGCAACACTTTTTTCTATTTCTTTCCAGTTTCTATATTATTTTAACAAATTTATCATATTATGAAGTTAGAAAATTCCTTTTATTTTGTACTCAATGTTAAAGAGTGCTTTTATCAACTAATTTCAGTAGATAAAGTAGTATTTTATGGTCTGGTGAAATAAAGTAATTTTTATCTACTGTTTATATTTTATCAACTAATTTCAGTAGATAAAGTGGTCGTTTATCGTCTAGTGAAACAGTGAATAATTTTTATCTACTGGTTATATTCAAGAAATTTGGTAGGTGAGTACAAAATAAAACGAAATATTATACACGATGATAAAGATTGTTTATCTACTCGTGAAAAAAAAGTAAAAAGTTCACAAACAGAATAGTTGTGAATTACTACATGTACATCAACATGTAAATGTGTTAGGAGTGAAAAAAATATTATATAAAATCCGGTAAAGAAGATTTTAATAGCCGCGCAGTTATTATTTCCCTCGATGCTACGCATCTCGGCTATAAAAAATCTCTTTTCTACCTTGTGATCTAATATAATTACTATTATACTCAAGTTTGTGCTTTTACTTTTTGAAAATCAATAATAAAAATCAATTTTCTCCATTCCCAAAAGTTTCTTCACAATGACTTGTTCATTCTATTGACAAACTAATGAGCTTAGGTAACTATTGGAAATTTGAAATAAAAAATAAGAATAACAACTTGATCAATTTTGCGAAAATATAAAAAATA